GGCCTAATGGTATCGCAGACAGAACTGTCTGTCAGTGCCCCTCGAGGGTGCTGGGCTTTAGCTACAGCGTTGCCAATTTACCAATTTGTATAGCCTTTGTTAGTGATCATGTACCCACTGGCTTCCTCAGGGAGGTAGAGAATTAGATCCTGACGAAAAGGCATAGACCCACTCTTCCTCTTTCTAAGCACTTGACTTGTAATTGTCTGCATTCCTTACAGTCCCCCTTCAAACAGCGCGTTCCTGAAGAGCAGGGGCCCGGTCTTACTGTTCCCTTTATCTCCAATGTCTAGCAGAGAACTTGGCAGGTAGTCAGTAAGTGATGCTGAGTGATGAATGGGAGAGGATGGAATTTTGAAGTAGATAGATCAGGATTTACCACTGTGTGACTTCAGGCAACTTGCTTAACTACCAGTTTCCTCATTTGTAAACTGGAGTAACATTATCTACCTACAAGAGTATTTTTAGAATTAAGTGAGTTAATGATTGGAGGGACAAGGTGAGTGACAGATGGCCCTTTGGATTCTGTCGTTCAATAACACAGCTTAGAACACGGAATCACAGAATTACAAAGCAGCTAAGAGCATAACCAGTCTCATCTCTGACTGGCTAAGTCCTAATCATCCTTTGGATCTCAATTTTAAAATTATTTCTCCCAGAAGATTCCCTTATCTACTTCCTGTCCCCATTCCCCCAGACTAGGTTAGTTCCTTCTGCTAAGTGCCTTCATAGTATTATATTTTTCTCTGTGATAGCACTTGTCACAATTTACTTTTGAAGAGTGTATCATCTCTGATAGACTGTAAACTCCACGAGGGGAGAGAATTTTGTAAATCTTGTTCACTATTGTATTTAATCACATAGTAGATGCTTATTAAATATTGAATGAATGATGCATTTTACAGATGAGGAGACTGAAGCTTAGGAAGGATAAGTGATTTTCCCAATCCCCAACTGGACCCCATGTCTCTTGACTTCTTGTACCACAGCAGCCTCACCCACAGGGACTTTGGATTCTTAGTTGTTTTTTTAAAGGTTTTATCTTTTTCTCACCCATTTGAAAAAATTATACAAATAATACACGTTCCTAGTAGAATACGTAGAAAATATAGATGAGCAAATAGGCACAAAGAAAGAGAGGACGGGAGGATAGAAGGTGAGATAGAACAAGAAAGAAAGAAATAGAGACACCTGACATAAGCACTGTCAACATTTTGGAATATTTTCTGTCAGACATTTTTCTAGGTGCTGTGCACAAATGCATGCGTGTGTGTGCACACACACGTTAAAATGTTTGTTTTTAAATTGAGAAACTTTGCAGGAGATAGAAAAGTGTAAAAGTCGAATCATCAGGCGATGGCTGTCTGGTGACAGTGTCTAGGAGTCAGGGACTCTTGCTGCTGTGAAAAACCAGAAAGCACCTTCTGGGATCCCAAGATGAGGAAGACTGCCTTCAAATCAACAACTTTTGCTTTCAGGTTTTATGTTCTCTTAGTGGAGAAGAATGCAGCTCACCTAAAAAGACCAAGTTCTGCCCTGGCTTGGCCTTTTGTAGAGAGTCTGGTTTTTCTTCTAATAGAGTCATAATGGTGCCACTGTCCTGGAGGCTGGTTGCCCTGGAAGACTGGCCTTTCATTTCTGAAAGCTCTTTGCTCCAAGAACCTGTCAACTTACTTAATTGGAAGTTAATAGAGCGTTTTCCTGCAGTCCCAGGACCTGCCCAGTTAGCTGGCTCTTATTGCCACAGTTCTTATTGGCAAATAACGTTTGAGCCATGAAAGTCCACTTTGCCCTTGAGCCTCCCCTGGAGCCAAGGTGTGTTTGTATTTGTCCTCCTGCCAGTGCAGATTTCCTGGGCACCGGCTCTTATCTTTCAGGTGGAGGTTTGGCGTTCTACTTCTTCAGGTACTGAGTCCAGGGAGTCCAGGTCCCACTTACGATCCACATACCGCTTCCAAACAAAGATTTGTTGTCCCCAGATTTATTCTACATCTACAGTTTGCAACTATTGATTGAGTCCCCACTTTGCACAGATGCTGTACTTGTCACTGGAGCCACTACAGTGATTAAGACACAGTCCCTGCCTTCAAGGAGCTCATGTCCTATGGAGCAGGCACACATATAAACAGGCTTTCATCATTCTACATGGTGGATATACACAGAATATGATGAGAGCAGTGACTAGGGGATCCTAACAGCCCTGGGGGATCAGAGAAGGTTGTTGAGAAACGTTTAAACTGAGTCTCAAGGATTTTGTGGTTTATTGATATTACTATAATCTCTATGTGATTAAGTTTATGTCTTTATGCTCTCATTGGATAATTCGTAAAGCATAAGTTTGAAAATGTTCAGGCGTTCAATAAGTAATTTATGACTACCTAGGTTGTTTTTTAAGAAATAACTTTTAGCACCAGCCTCAGTGGCCTAGTGGTTAAGTTTGGCACGCTTTGCTTCAGTGGCCCAGGTTCGGATTCCAGACATGGACCTACACCACTCATCTGTTAGTGGCCATGCTGTGGTGGTGGCTCACACAAAAAGAAAATAAAAGAGGAAAATTGGCAATGGATATTAGCTTAGGGCAAATCTTCCTCAGCAAAAAAAAAAACCCCAAAAAAACAAAAACTTTGAAAATCTACATGTATTAAATATTTTTTCCTTGCCTAGTCCTATCTTAAATATTCTGAGGGGGCAGTGAGGGGCTGATATAGAAGGAATAAAAGATGTAGGTCAAGGTCTGTGAAAGTTCACAGTCTAGTTGAGAAAAACAAATTTATCTACCTAAAATCGAGACTCGTACGAAACAGTCAACAACCAGATGTAAGGTGCATGTGTTCCTGTCACCACACATCCTTTTACTTCTCCTGCAAGGAAGCACCATCCCTGCTTCCACAAGGAGTTTGATTCGGGCACAGAAATGGGGAAAAGAGACCTGCTTTGCCTTCCTTAGCCCACTGGAGATATTTGTCATCTTCTTTCTCCAGTTTATAGCATGAGCACATTTATTGCATAAGTGACTTCAGGGAGGATTTCAGGAATTCCTGGGCGTATCAGTCTTGAAATAACCCCCCTGATCCCTCACCTAGGACGCTTCTTCTCTTCTTCTGTACGTTCTTACTTGCGGGTATACAGGTAAATTGAGTCCTTTGACATTAACTCTGCCTTCAGTTACTCTGAACTTTCCTTTAGGCAGCTTTCAACCTTTAGGCAGCTTTCCTTGAAGGAAAGCCTTCAAAACCGAGATGTTGAATTACCCCTCTGGTGTGTTGTAAACTCTTTAAAGCCTCAACTAGATTGTAAACTCTTTAAAGCTGTGTCTTACACTGTTTCTATACCAAATACACTTTTTCTATAGTAAGGACTTAATATATTTTTCTTGATTTATTATTTTACAAAACACAAAGCTTACAGGAGGAGAGACTGACTCTTTCCGCTGGGCTGGTGAACTATGGTGTTTGTGCTCAGCATAGAGCGGGGAGCAACTTCTTTGAGTTGAAGCCTCACACATGTTGCTTTGTCAAGTTTTTTATACTTTTTTCAGAACATTGCATTTTCCATCGTAGAAAAATATGTGCCATATGCATTTAAACCACATTTGTGTATTCTTTGTTTTAAATCACTTATGTTGTTGATTCTCTCTGTTAGAAATTGCCTGCCTATTGCTCCTGGGGGATCTTCAGAAAGAGGCAGAGAGAAAACTTCGGGGCATTGTTGCAAGGATGTTGGAACATTTTCTCATTTAGCTCTGGTTCACTGGTCAGATACATTCAGATAGTTAATTTACTAATTTTTTGATGTCATAAATATTTATTCATCCCACTAATAGTTGTCTTTTCTGGTAACTTTTAAAGATCTGACATATTACTCTCAATCTGAAAAGATTTGAGGTCAGGGGATAGAGGAGCAGATTTCTGGGGCACTGTCTAGAGGAAACCCTGTTTCCAGGGCTCTTTGGCGTACATCATGAAGTTCCAATCTCAGAAGATTCCTAGAAGGGAGAATAGAGGCCCATCTGACAACTGCGGAGGCAAGTGAGAAAATCAGGCCTTATTTCATTCGCCAAGTGGCTCAACAGCAGACCGAATTGGTGTGAATCATCCACAAATACCACGAAACAGGAAATCAGGTTGACTTTCCTGAAATCCTTCCTTGAATTCTCTCAAGAATGAATTTTACCTCCTCTGGACCCCACAACACTTGGTTGTATTTTCACTACATCTTCTTAAGTAGCTGTTTATAGACCCGTGCTCTCCTACCTGTCAGAAGGTAAGCCCCTTAAGAGTAAGGGCATACATTAAGTAGTACATTTAATTTACTACTTTTTTGAGGTAAAATTAAGCACAAGAAAGACTACTATTGATAGTCATATCATTAGTGACTTTTGTTTCACTAAAGCTCAAGAAAAGTTTAGAAGAAAAGACAAATCAGTTTTATAGGAGAAGGAAATAGCTCTTATCGTGGAGATAGAAAGAACACCATAGTATTTAATCATAGATGGGAGGGGTGGGGGTCAAGGTCAGAGGAGCGTGTGTGTAGGTGAGGAGAGGGAGTGGTATCGGAGTTTGATGAAAGCCCTTTCCTGCTTTCAGTGTGTGGCTAGGTCAGAATCATTTTAGTAATGGAAACTAGAATCAATGTATCTTTACCAAGTAAGTAAAATATCATGTTGGATCTTAATTATAGAACTAACCATTATCTGTCGGAAGAGATAGAAAAGGTATCTAGGGAGAGTTGACTGCTTTATGGGCCAAGGGGCTGCAGTCCTGTATCTTTATCTAAGCTGATACCATTTGAAGTTGGTTTTTCGACAAGTTTTTCTTTGCACCTAATTCTGTGAGACGGTTACATTTTATTTCACTTGGGTATCCTGCGGTGACTTTGTTGTTCATTTTAATTGTGTAACAGAAAGAATAGGAATCCTGAAGAGAAGGAAAAGAGAGAGAGTGAGGTAGTGAGGGAGGGGGAGAGAGAGAGAGAAAGAGAGAAGAGAGATTTTTCAGGAGAGAAAAACACCAAGGCTAATGTGCAAGAAAAAAAAACACAATAGAAAAATCACAAGTATTCAGAGAAACATTACCCTTTATTCAAAAGACAGAAGAAAATACAGTTACATTTTTAACATGCAAATAAGCTGCAGCTCAAATTTAGTATTACAAGGGAGGTTTATCCAAGGAAGAGATAAAGCTGTCATGATTTAGAAGTCACTGAACTGATGGCCATTCAATCTAGAGCTTAGTAGCCTTTTGATAAACAATCTAGCTGATTCTCCTACGTAAGCGACTCTCTGGGGATAAGGGATATTTTTGAAAAGTTTAAGTCATAAGATTTACGAGAGGTTTTAAAAAATCTGCAGCTAATTTTCTAAGTGCTATTGATGAAATCCCTCAGACCCAACGATAGAGTCATAATGATCCCAACTTAATCTACATAAAGAATTAGGGATAAATAGCTATTTTATAATGAAAGCTCTATCTATGTTGGCCATTAATAAGTTAGTTAATATGATTTCTAGTATAATTACAGTGCTAAAGAGTTTGTGGTCAGTTCTAGTAGTGCTAACAGAATTGTTAGTGAAGAAAATATACTGTTATCATAAACTAGAGAATCTCATTCAGGCATGGGAATTAATTATAATTACAATACTTAGTTTACACCTTAAGTTAAAACCATTCCCTCAGCTTTCAATCCAAACTTACATTGCTAGCTGATTAGTATATTATGATGGGGCTTTCTGACTTGGCTGATTAATCGAACAGTTACATGATTGAAAGTTACAATTTCCATATTTGAGAGTGAAATTGCTTCAATGCTAAGGAGCTATAGCATTGTTTTTACTAGCCATATAATTAGTAATAACTTTTGTGGATATTCCATTGAATAACAGTATCTGGGAACTTTGTTCGCCAGCCATCAATGCTGCTTGCCTCTCTGACTTTCTCATTGTCATTTTTTTGCCACATATGACAGCAGCTAGATAGTTTGCGTATTTAGAGTTATTCTCCTAACAGAAAAAGGGTGGCGTGTGTACACGTGTGTATGTGTGTGTATGTGTGTGTGTTGGGCAGATGTATGACACAGAGAGATCTGGCCTAAAGCAAAACTGGGTAGTATAAAGTTGCTCATTTTTTTTGGTTCTGGCTTCTTCTTTATGCATCTTGCCCTATCCACAGCCATTACCTCTCCATCTCCCTTTCAAGAAGGGCTTTATCATTAAATGTTAACAATTTTTATATACCTCTTGATGTATGAGCCAATCTTAATGATCCTTGGGATTCATCTGTGTACATAGTGGAGATGGCAATATTTTCATATCTTTCCTGAGGTGCAAAGCACCAACAGTGGTGAATAAGCACTAGCAGGTCCTTCTGGAAATTTTTGTTGAGAAAGCCATAAAAGAGGGGGTTTATACACGTAGAAACCATAGCAACCAAGTGGCAAACTACAAATACCAGGTCATGGTGGCAGCTCATCAGCACTTCATGATACCAGTCGAAGATGACATTGAAGATGTTCAAGGGCAACCAGCAGGCCCCAAAGGTCACCACAATGGAGATCAAAATTGTATTGATCCTCTTGTTCTCACTGAGCCAGCTCTCACTTTTCCTCTTCCTGTCCCCTTTCCCATTTCTCCTGCGGAGGCAGATAACAATCTTCAGGTAGCAGATGAAGATGAAGCTCAAAGGGACCCAATACTGGAGCATAAACAGGGAGGTGGTAAAGAGGAGCTGGTTCATTCTGGAGGGCCAGTTCTCTACACAGGCCACACGATGGGTGTAGAGGTCAGTGGGGAGAGAGAGGTTGTGGAAGGGCTCATCGGTGAGGTGGTAGGACAAGAAGAAGGGAATAGACAACAGAAGGGAAAATAGCCAAATCAGTATGATACCCCAGTAGGCATGAGATACACTGGGCTTCCAGCCATGGGGGTTCACAATCAGCTGATATCTTTCAACAGCAATTAACACAAGTGACAATATGGACACAGAGATGGAGACACTTTGCACATAGGAGGTGAGTTTGCACATGATATCCCCGAATATCCAGTGGTCCATCAAAGTGTAGATGACAGTGGAAGGGATGCACATGAGACACACCAAGATGTCAGAGAGGGAGAGATTGGCAATCAGTATGTTGGTGACAGTCTGAGCTTCTCTTTGCTTTTTAAAGATGATAATAATGAGAGAGAGGTTTCCAAAAAGGCCCACAATTAAGACCACAGTATAGGCTGTGAATAATAGGAGCAAGGCTAGAGAAGGGAGTTGACAGAACTCAAAGTAGAAAAATGCAGAGTTGTTGCTCTTTGCATTGGTTTTGTTAGATGCTGGCTGGTTTAGGGAAAGTTCCATTATGTCAGAGTTGTAAGAAGAGCTTTTCTAAGCTTACTCTCATTATAGGTGGATATTTTGACCATCAGTTCTTGGGAAGCACTTTGTTCTGAGGCTTCCAAGTGTAATTAGGAGGGTTTAATCTTCCCTGATCTTTGTCTGTGCTTGATGGAAACGCATGAATGACTTGAGTATGCTCTTGAGATCCTAAAAGATGAAACAGAACCTGGAATATTAATGCAAGTTCTTAACAACCTGGACAATTCTATAGGTGGAATAGTGTCTCTGAGAGGACATAGACAGAAATATAGAGGGTCTCTCTGTATCCTGGCCTTCCTTTCATCTCAAGATGCTTTATTTGTCCCATCAGTATAGCTTGTAGAGCTAATGAGGCAGGGAATGTGACAACATTCAGTTCACTGTATAAGGCAGCCCAAGTGTACATTTCCATCCTTTTTATCTTCTGTCTTTTTTTTCTATTGTTATCTGGATATACACACATCTGCTCCAAATGACTATAAAAGCTACAAGGATAGGGACTGTGCTGTGGAATCCAGAGTACTATGTATGGAGTTGGGTTCCAATTGAAGCATTGCTACTTGGTATCTGTGACTTTGACATATCAATCACCCTTCCTGCTCAGTTTTTTATCTCTAAAGTAGGGATAAACAATGTCTGTCTGAGGTGCTGTGAGGATTAAATGAGATCATGCAAGTGAATTTCTCCCTCCGTCCCAAGATAGAGCACATAGTAGGTGCTCAGTGTATGTGTGTTGAGTAAAATTTGTCAGCTCCACCCAGAGCTAGTCTATAGCCTCTATTCTGGGGCTGGAATCATAGATCACATCTGCTGTAGAATAGCGTATGCTTTCTCCTCTTTGTACTTCTTCCACTCTGCAGGGGCAAAGCCATTCTCTGCACAGGCAGTTTCTGGATACATTGCTCAGATACTGGAGATCAAGGCAAGGTATCCTAGTGAGCTATTACTCAAAATTAACTTTATTTAGAAAGCATTCCTCCAATTGTCCCTTCATGGGGTTCCTTCTTCTTCTGAATTCCAGAGGAAAGGGGGGCGATTGTTCTATGGCTCAGCATGGTTTAAGGTGGTTGTATTCAATGGAATTATTCATACCAGGATACACAGCAGACATGATGAACTCCCCACCATTCTAAATGCTGAGATTTCTGGCCCAAAGAGGATACATTGAAAGAGGGCAAAGGAAAAGCAAATACCCTTCATCTTGGTTTATTCATTAGGAATTTGAGAAAAACAACATAAATAACATTGATAAAGGAAGCTGAGCAATAGGAATGAAAGAGAACAAACTTTTATTTGTTGTTTGAAATTACCCTGGACTGCTCTCACATTCTTTCTGAGTTCAAAGGCTTAACAGAGTCTTACTGGAAAAAAATCACTTTAAGAATGCTTCTTATGTCTATCGTGGTTTTAACAAGATACCACAATGAGGAACACCATAAAAATACCACAGATGAATAGAAACTGGTGATAAAGACAGCATATTTTGTAAAGAAGGACCCAAGGAACTGATCTGTGGCTCAGATGTGACATGATAAGTAGAAGTAGCAAAATTTATGAATAGTGGTCTTTGAAATGAAGGCTTAGGGCTTGGAGTGTTCAGGGATTCAACAGCCCTAGAGTTCACAGATCTTGGCTGTAGGGGAATGTCAAGAGAGATTTAAGCTCTTTATGACAGTCGATGAACTGGAACTATAAATGAGAAATAGAAAGCTTTATTTGCTTTTAGCGACCCGCTAACAAGCAAGCTTCACTTGGAGTAGGAAAGGAACGAAGGAAATAGGCAATCACTGCATGTACAGTTTGATACACTGGAATGAGCACCAGACTCCTGTCAGATGCTTGTCCTGCTGTTAACTAGCTGTTCCATCTTGGGCAAGTCACTCCTCTTCTCTGGGCCTGAATTTTGTCGTCTGTCAAGTTAATTTTAAAAATGGCCTCCCTATTTCACACCTTGTTATAAGGGCCAATGAAATGATATATTTAAAACATCTGATAAACTGTTAAATTCTGCGAAAATTCCAGTGCTCATTATTGCTGTCATTATTATCTGTGTTGAGTGTTTCGGTCGCTTAGACTGAACTGATCTGACTCCCTCCCTCTGGAGAGCTGTGAGAGCTTTCATAGTTGGTGCACTGTTTCTTTCTCCAACATCAAGTCTGCTGGAAGGAGGTGGCAGTGTTATGTTTCCATTTCAGAGACAGAAGCCAAAGTACAGAAAGGCTCAAGAGCTTAGCTACAACCAAACAAAACAGCAAAGTCTTGTGCTTTTTTTCTTCTCAGCTCTTATGGTCTACAAGAAAGAAAAGCTTCCTGTGAATCCTGCAAAGACAGATCCGAAGAACAGTTTTCTCCGTACAGATGTAGAAATTCACACAATTTTACAGTGTTCCTAGCAGATTGGTAATAGAGATGGGATAAACATCAAGACCCTTGTGTTGGGGTCTGGCCCTGTGGCCAAGTGGTTAAGTTCGCACGCTCTGCTTCAGCAGCCCCAGGGTTCACTGATTCTGATCCTGGGTACAGACCTACACATCACTCATCAAGCCATGCTGTGGCAGCATCCCACATAGAAGAACTAGCATGACTTACAACTAGGATATACAACTATGTACTGGGGCTTTGGGGACAAAAAAAGAGGAAGATTGGCAACAGATGTTCGCTCAGGACCAATCTTCTTCACCAAAAAAAAAAAAAAAAAAAAACCCCAACCAAAATGCATACCTCTAAAAAAAGAACCCTTGTGTTGCCCATTCACATTGATCTGGGTTGTCTGGGCTGAGTGAATGGGGATCACTCACCATCCTGCAATAGCAGGTCTGAAACTGGGTAGAGACCCCTCTACTCTTTTCTATGCTGATTAGTAGCAAAGTACAAATTAGCTCCAGTCTCTAAATTCCTATGGAGGCTTGAAGCCCAGAAAAGCCAGAAGAAGGTCAGATGGGCCTCATCTGGGAGGGAATCAAAGGGGAGTGCTGCAGTTACATTACCCAGTGCCCTCTACACAGTACAGAGAAGAAGAACAGGAAAATCCCCAATGTGGCAAGTAAATGGCAATGTGGGATTTACACTTTACGTAGTTGGTAACTATTAAGTTCAAATATTTAAATCCTGCTTATCTGGAAGCAAAATAATGCTAAGCCTTGATTCATAAAAAAATTCTTGGGATACATTTCTATTTTAGGAAAGTTCATCTTCAAAGTTTGGTTGGAAATGACCCAAGGGTGTGAGATCTCAAATTACCAAGTGACATTTTGCCAAAAAATATGAGTGTCATGTGGCAGAGGTAAGTAATCTTCAACTTTCAACTTGATTGAAAGTTCTAGCTCATGAGGCGCATGCCTTGAACTGGCTCCACTTATGCCTTTTAATGCAAAAGTACAACATTACATTACACATTTTTTTGTAGTTTGTGTTTTAAAATTTCAAGAGAAACAAAATAAGAACACTACTCCACTAGAGTCTCTATCTGCATATTTATTTCTGTCTCGGAATGTCTTTTTGTTAGTGTGTGTCTTTATCTCTTATTCATGCAACTCTTTTTGGGGGTGGGGGATGTTGGGGGTAGACTTGTGTGTGTCTGCTCCTTGGTCTCTCTGTGTTTTTTCCACACCTCTCATTGTCTTCCTCTCTTTCTGCCTGTCTCCTTCTCTTTTCTGTTCTCCCCTTTTCCTTAATTGTCCATAACATGGAAAAATTAAAGCGCATTTTGGATTATTTGTTATATTTCATTTGGTGCTATGGTGTTTGACCTGGGAGAGAGTCCACAGGCCTTCTAATATGTACCTCTCGCTTGACAGATGTTGCAGCTTTGCAGTTAATTACTGGCCAGAACAGGGACCAGAGCCCAGGTCTCTTGCTCTCAGAGTACCATGCTCTTTCCACTATTTTCTGCTGCTTCCTATTTTAGATAGATTGGATAAAGTTCTGTACTTCTTGTTCTTAATTTTAAAAGTGAGTGAATAGAACATTTTCTATTTCTTTTATATTAAAAATTTTTTCTTGTGTAACTTCAGGGAATCTGTGGCCTTGGTAGCATGAAGTTTTGTACACCCTCCACCTCTCTAAGTGTGTGTATGAGGCACCCCAAATAGGGCAGGACCACATTGCAAGCACCCCTCCATAGAACTCTCTGTTCTTTTCCTTAAACCTCTAGGAATATAGATTCTATGGCTGTGTTGTTGTAGATAACATCTCACACCTGCTTAGGGCTCAATGATTTTTTTTTTAATATTTAATTTTTTCCTTTTTCTCCCCAAAGCCCCCCAGTACATAGTTGTATATTCTCAGTTGTGGGTCCTTCTAGTTGTGGCATGTGGGATGCCACTTCAGCATGGCTCAATGAGTGGTGCCACGTTTGCGCCCAGGATTCGAATCGACGAAACACTGGGCCGCCTGCAGCGGAGCGCACGAACTTAACCACTTGGCCATGGGGCCGGCCCTGGGCTTAATGATTTTAAAGTAGTACCCCATTCATTAGTTCATTCATGAATTCAGGCACCGACAAGTGGGCTGTCTTACTTGGTTTTTACAGCCGTCCTGTACTCTAAATAGGAATCATACTTTAATTCTGATTTTACAAACAAGGCAGGTGAGACTCAGTGACATGGTTACATAGTTAGTAGCAGAGCCAGGAATAAAGAATTCTACTTTCTAAACCATACACAAAGCAGTATTTCTGGTTTATTTCATCATTTCATTTTTTAAAAAAATCAGATTAGTCATTTGTGTTCAATGAAAACAAATAGAACTAGAATCTCCATAAAGACACATCTTAGAGCTTTCTCTAAGAACAAAGTACTGTGTTAAGTAACCATAAGAAGCATCAAGAAACAAATGCCTACTCTCTCACAGCCTTATTAAAAAATGTAATTGGCCTGGTTATTCTACATCATGCAAACTCCTTATACTATTCAGCCATTCACCCATTCCAGAAAATCAGATTTCACGTCTATCTATTGCAGAAGTGTGTGCTCTCTTTTAAGATTTGGGATCATATTAGACCCATCCATTCTTTTAATACATGTGTTTTGATTTTCTCTGCTGGAGATAGTTTACCTGTTTCTCCTTGAATTTGACAATGGCTGAGTCCGTATAAAGTGTTAGGAAAATGTACACATTTCATTTCCCAAAGCCTAACAGTTGCTTTTAAAATCAAGCCAACACAGATTGTCTGAATTGGCTTTAATTTTCTTTGAAGGTTAATGACTGACTTATCATTATAGAGATGTTGAGGTTATTAATTCTTTAAAATTAGAATATATTAAATGCATCAAAAAAGGAGAGCTAAACTCTGCCCGTGAAAATAAGTATACCAAGTTTTTATTCACAAAACAAAAAATAACCCCATGATGCCAAT